ATTTCATCATATGGAGAAAACCAAAAGTCTTCAATAATAAACAAAAACAAAGTAAAAATAATCAGGGAAAAAATCCACAAATCCCAAAACCAGACACGCTTTTCAGGAGAGATAAACTACGAAAATGGTACAATTTAGAGCATTCAAAGAATAAAATACAATTTTGATTCCCGCCATTTTCTTCCTCTTCAATTTCTTCTCTCTACATTTAATCATGGTATCAGAGCACAGACTGCCTTTTCGTAAAAGTGAAGCAAAATCATCTGGCATTTTTTATCTCATTCATTGCGATATATGGGGACCATACTCCATCCCTTCTTTAGATGGATCTATATATTTTCTAACAATCGTTGATGATTACAACAGAATGACCTGGACATATCTCTTGCGTGAGAAGTATCAAACTAGGTCCATCATTCAGTCTTTCTATCATTTAATACAAACACACTTTCAATGTAATATAAAAATCCTTCGATCTGATAAAGGGTTAGAGTTCATCATGCCTGATTTCTATCATGATAAGGGCATTATTCATCAACTAAATTGTGTAGAGACACCACAACAAAATGGGGTGGTTGAGCGAAAACACCAACACGTTCTTAACATTGCTAGGGCTCTTAAATTTCAAGCTAATTTGCCTCACCACTTTTGGGACGATTGCACTGCCACACATCTAATCAATCGAATACCCACCTCCATTATTGGAAATAAGTCTCCCTATGAAATGCTCTATCAAGTCACACCATCCTACTATCATCTCAAGGTCCTTGGTTGCCTCTGTTATGCTTCCACTCTTAAAAGAAATCGTGTAAAATTTGATTCTCGAGCCACACCCTGCATTTTCGTTGGCTACCCTTATGGTATGAAGGCCTATAAACTTTACAATCTCCAAACACATACCACATTCGCTTCACGAGGTCGAGATGTGTCTTTCCATGAGACTATATTTCCCTATCATCATCCTACCTTTCTTAATTCTCTATCCACTTCAACTGTATCATTTCACCTTGATCAACCACTTTTCTCAGCCCGTCCCATTCATATTTTGATGTTCCTTTCTTTGATCCTTCTTCCATTCTACACACTTCAAATAAGGTAGCTTCTCCTGACATTCCTTTTTCTCCTGAAACTACTCAACATGCATCATTCTCTCCCTCAGACATTGTTTCTCCACTTAACACTTCCTTCACTTTAGATATTTCTCAACCTGAGACATTTTCATTTTCACATCCCCCTCCCACTCGAAAATCCAATAGACCCAAGACAATTCCTTCCTACCTTTGTGACAATCATTGCAGTCTGGTATCTCAAATTCCTTCTTCCCAATCAAATTCCATGGTGAAAGATTCTGTCTCTGGCCCCAGTATCCTATCTCAGATTACTTGGACTATGGGATGTTGTCCTTTTCCCACAAGCTTTATGCACTAGCCTTATCTACCATCCATGAACCTCAGTCCTTTGTTGATGCTGCTAGAAATCCAGATTGGTGCAAAGCTATGGACACAAAATATCAGGCTCTTGTCTCCAGTAATACCTGGTCTGTTGTTCCTCTTCCTGTCATAAGACTCCTGTGGCTTGCAAATGGGTTTTCAAGGTTAAACTTAATTCAAATGGTACTGAAGAAAGGAAAAAAGGCTAGGCGTGTGACCAAAGGATTCACTCAACAGGTTGGCTTAGATTATGAGGAAATATTTTCACCAGTTGCCAAGTTAGTCACAATGAAAACCTTAATTGTTGTTGTAGCTCAGAGGCAATGGTATCTTCATCAACTTGACATAAACAGATTTTCTTCATGGTGAACTGGAAGAAGAAGTGTATATGTTGATGTCCCCAGATTATGAACAGCAGGGAGTGAATGGTGAAAAGTTAGTTTGCAAATTAAAATAAGTCCATTTATGGCCTTAAGCAGGCATCAAAACAATGGAACACCAAGTTGTCTTCTTATATTACTTCTCAAGGTTTCAAGCAGTTGAAATCTGACTACTCTCTATTCAGCAAAAAGGAAGGCTGCTAATTCACAGTGATTCTCTTCTATGTAGATAACATTATCATTGGAGAAAATTATGTCACTTACATTGAGCAGTTTAAACAAGGTTTGAATAGGCAGTTCAAATTAAAAAATTTAGGGGTCTTACAATTTTTCTTAGGACTTAAGGTCGTAAGAAGTTCGAATGGCATATCTTTTTGTCAAACAAAATATTCACTAGAGATCTTAACAGATGCAGGTTATCTTGGAGCCAAACCGGCTAATAGCCCATTACCATAAAATCTAAAATTAAGCAAAAGTGATGGTGAAGCCATTGCAGATGCAAGCATGTATAGGAGGTTGGTAGGAAGGCTTTTATATCTCATAATCACGAGGCTTGATCTATCATATGCTGTGCAAGTCTTCAACCAATTTCTCCAGTCACCATAACAGCCTCGTTTAGAGGCAGCTTATCATGTGTTGCGGTATTTAAAGGACACACACGAGCAAGGTCTGTTTTTTGCCAAAAATACTGATTTGCACCTCAAGAGTTACTTTGATGCAGACTGGGCAGCATGCTCGGGCACCAGAAGGTTTGTCACTGGATATTGCATTTTCTTAGGGAATTCACCAGTGTCCTGGAAATCCAAGAAGCAACACACGGTTTCATGATCTTCAGTCGAGGTAGAATATCAATCCATGCAGCAGTAGCATGTGAATTCAGCTGGTTGAGGAACATACTCGATGATTTGGGTGTGCAACATACTAAGGCAGCGTTGCTGTTTTGTAACAATCAATCAACTATACATATGCTAGTAATCCAGTGTTTCATGAACGTGCAAAACATATAGAAATTGACGGCCACTAAGTGCGGGATAAGGTGCAAGCAGGTGAGTTCAAGACACTACATGTGGCATCACAGGAGCAATTGACAGATTTATTAATGAAACCGTTTGGATGGTTTAAGTCTTTGTTACTCAAGTGGGAATCTTAAATATTCATTTTCTATCTTGAGAGGGCTTACTGAGTCATATTGTATGTAGCATAGGGGTAATTTAGTCCTTGTACATCCTTCCATTCTGTTAAAGCAGTTGAATGTCATTGTATATATAGTTTCCAGCTAGTAAAATTCAGAGTACTCAAAGGATAGAATACAACTGCGGTTCCTGCCATTTTCTTCCTCTTCAATTTCTTCTCTCTACATTTTATCAACGGAACAAAGTGATGATAAGTAAGCGAGAAAAATAGAGAAAAAACTCCATGGAGACAGCGTATATACAGAATCAACAAACACACCTACTATAGTTTGTAATTGCAATCTCTGATGGACGATTTTGAGACAGAAAGATTAAGAAAGATGAAGAGCGGTGGATACAGTCATGTGGAGATAGAAATACTTCCTCTGATGAACGATTTTCGAAGGTTTGAAGAAGAAACAAGTTAATTTTTTGAAGAGAAATCGAGAGACGATGAGGAAGAGCGATGGATGATAGTAGGCAAAAATCGAAGGGGAGAGACGAAGAGAGACAAAAAAGATCAGGTAGGGATAGAAATGCTTTAGGGTTTGCACCATCCTTCGAAATTTATACACATGCAAAACAATGGTGTTCCGGACAGAATGAATAGCAAACAACGTCGTTTCACCACCTATTGTTGTATGTCACATCGTTTGGTGCTTAGGAGATCATGATTGATATCGAATTTGATCTCCTAAGCACCATGTTTAGGTGGCACACTACAATGGGTAGTGTTATTAGTCTTAAAACTAACTATTATTTTTCACCACCTATTGTTGTATGTCGCGTCATTCGGTACTTAGTATGAGCTAAGGACCGGTGCTCAAGAGACCATGATTGATATTGAATGTGATCTTCTAAGTATCGGTGTTTAGTTTATATTAAACATCATGCTTAGGTGCCACACTACAATAGGTGGTGTGGTGTTATTAGTTTTAAAACTAACCATTATTTTTCACCACTTATTGTTGTATGTTGCGTCATTCGGTGCTTAGTATAAGCTAAGGAACGGTGCTTAAGAGACCATGATTGATATTGAATTTGATCTTCTAAGTATCAGTGTTTAGTTTATATTAAGCATCATGCTTAGGTGTCACACTACAATGGGTGGTGTGGTCAATTTTAAAACTAACAATTATCTTTTCACCATTTATTATTGTATGTCACGTCATTCGGTACTTAACACAAGCTAAGTACCGGTGCTTAGAAGATCATGACTGATATCGAATTTGATCTCCTAAGAATCTTGCTTAGGTGGCACACTACAATGGGTGGTGTGATTAGTTTTAAAACTAATTATTATCTTTCATCACCTATTGTTGTATGCCACCTTATGGTGCTTAGGAAATCATGACTGATATCGAATTTGATCTCCTAGGTGGCACACTACAATGGGTGATGTTATTAATTTTAAAACTAACTATTATCTTTCACCACCTATTGTTGTATGTCGTGTCATTCAGTGCTTAGTATGAGCTACGTATCGATGCTTAAGAGATCATGACTGATATTGAATTTGATCTTCTAAGCATCGATATTTAGTTTTATATTAAGTACCATGCTTAAGTGGCACACTACAATAGATGGTCTGATTAATTATAAAACTAACCATTATATTTTCACCACCTATTATTGTATGCCACGTTATTCGGTGGTTAGCATAAGCTAAGTGCCTAGGAGATCATGATTGATATCGAATTGGATCTTTTAAGAACCATGCTTAGGTGGTACACTACAGTGTGTGATGTGATTAGTTTTAAAATTAACCATTATTTTTTATGACTTGTTGTATGCCACGTCATTCGGTGTTTAAAGAGATAATGACTTATATAAAGGTGGAGAAAGCATGCTGGGGGTAATTTATTTTTCTGGTAGTCCTATTTGGTGGGTTAAAATTAGACTTTTTAGTGAAGTTTGATAAGAATTGATGTAACACGTAATTGAAAAATTCTGAATTTTATAAAATATATTTTTTGTGGTTAAAATTGTTTGTGGCTAAATATATATATACACTTTTACGGAGTTAAAGAATGCGCTAAGAATCAAATGCCTAAATTGTTGATTTTAATTTTAGAGAGAGCAGCCCTAATAAATTTTAATTGCCGAAGCAACGTATATACCCGCATCAATTTTTCGTAATTTCAGTTCACTTCGACCATAATCCTCGAACCCATGGCCGCTGCAAATCCATTAGCTTGCATTCTATGGCTTCTCTTCTTATCATATTCGTTCTTGCCCTCCGTTAGCTCCGCTGATGAACTCTTTTTAGGTAAGCTTCCCTAACATCATTTTAGAAGTTGGTTTAAGGATAAAAAGAAGACAGCTTTCACTTGGGAGCACTCACTTATTGGATAAATATGTAGTTGCCAATTTAATCGATGAAATTTGAATTGTGTTCACGGGTGTGGTTTAGGTTTACTATTGTAGGGTTTCGGTATCACTTGTTAAATTTCGACAAGTTACTTATTTTTAGGTTCTTCATTTAGAACAATAAATTTTTAATTACTTTTAAGAACGGGAAACATTCTATTATCTATAGGTAGGTGAAGAGCTCCGATGGAGGAGAAATATTTGTATCCACATGGTATGTTTGATAATGTGGATGGATAGCAATGGGCAGTGCTGAATTAGATGAGGAAGTTAAAATCGTGTTTAATATATTGTTGAAGCCCATTCAACATTGCGTGCCAAACACGTCCATCCTTTTTGCAAATATATACAACTTACAAAAAGTATAATTCTGTTAATTGCGGTGTATTTGCTGTTGTATGGAAGTGATTTACATCTGTGATGGTTTTTGGCATCTGATAACAAGCCATGGTTCTATGTCTGTTTGCTTTTATCTCGGGATAGTGTTGCTTTTGAGGAATAGGATCCACAACATGTACTAAATGACTCTCGGAACTATCCAATTCATATTGATACCTACAAAATATCATCCTCTTATTACAATGGGACCTGTCGAATGATTCTTATTTTACTGAGCTTTGGTATAAGGGATACATGTCACATCCATGTGTTAAATTGCTTGTACATTTATGTATGTATATATGACATTGGAGATGCAATTTGACTAAATGATTCATGAATCATCTGATTGCTGATTATGGGATCTCTTTCTTCTTAGTTTCACCCGATTCATATACTCCTCTTCTCTTGATCGAAATAAGAGAATTATGGAGTTTCTATATATGCAAGTACACGAGAGTATGTGTGAGTCCACCAATGCATGTATTAGGATGTCTCTAAGCTTATCCTTTTAGTTCTGCAGTTATTAGCGAGTCCGCCTCGTTGCAGCTATCACCAAGCTTGATAGTGGAAAAGTCTCCAGGGTCAAAGCCAGGAACCAATGTGAAATGTGATAGAGTTCATATCCATGGCTTTCCAAGGCTTAAACATTTGAGCAAGTATGCCAATTCGATAAAGGTAAAAGTTTCATATGTAAATCCAAGTGGCCGTCCACCGAGTGTTGAGATCTGTTTCCACAGGTGAGTCTGCATGCATAATGCTAAATCTTTTTGCTCGGAATAAATGAAATTGCTTGCTTTATTTGGATTCTAGTTATACATAATGCTAAGTCAAAGTAAATGGAATTGTTTGCATAATTGTTTTTTTTATTTTGTCTTTTATGTTTTCCAAATCCAATTTTTTACACAAGTTGATATACTGACAAAACTAACCTTTAGTTTGTTAAGTGTGCCACTGTACTATTGAGAAGGGGTTGCTTTATTTAACTTATATCTCTTGATTAGATCTTTATATTCATTATTTTGCATCATAAGTACATCAACTCTTCATACTAACTTTAGGAAGTATGTTAAATCAGTAGATCCCTATTCAACTCAGTTGCACAGAGCCTTCTCCCGAACTTATCGTTGGTGTATTAGAAATCCTCATCTTCATTCTATTGTATAAAGGATTCAATTGAATTCTAAATCCCTAAATATAATAAAATGGAATTTGGTTATTGTTTATTTTTATCTCTTGCAGAAACTTCGGCTACATTTTGTGGTCTAAAACATCTTTTCCTCTCCCATCTTATAGATTTTATAGGTTTCAAAAGAAAATGTCAAATTAATCATTTTGTTGCAATCACCCTTTTCATAGATATGCACACGTCTATATTTCTCACTACCAATTTAAACCTATATTTGACTTTGCAGCAATTTGTCCCTTGGGATAGGGATGTGCCCTCAAGGTCAGTGGGAGAGACTTACCGAGGGTTTATGGGTCAGATCAATGTCACCGTTTGGTCACAAGCTTTTGGATATACGGATGGGAGCTGCTTCTTCAGGAAGTCTCCATGTGTTCCTTGATGAAGGTTTGTTCCCCACAGATCTTCTTCTTCTTCTATGGATAATCTCATGAGGTAAATTTCTATTTCTATTTTAATACATATTTTGGTGCACTTATATAAATTGGTGTCTTATTTTGCAGAATTTTACTTATTCCGCGTAGTATTTTTGGTCTTGGGGATAACAATGATGACTCTTGCTTCCTGTCTCAGCAAGTCTCTAGTATTTTACTACAGTGGTGCAATGTCTGTAGGAGTTCTTCTTGTGATATTGGTGATCCTTTTCCAGGTAGGTCCATAACTTTGGAACCTTCAGATCATTTTGACATCTTTACTGCTTCCAGTTATCTTATTTCTAATTTTTTATACAGAAGACCTGTAGGCCATTATTGGTACGAGTTTCTCATGCATTTACAGGACGATATGTTTAGGCAATACTTCATCTAAGGGGACTTAATGACTGTCTGTTCAAATGCATGTGTGGATACTCTCGGGTTCATAGGAGCTCATCATTGTGTAGCTGAGTTTTGACTTTGATGATATGTTTTAACAACTTCGTATTTTATTTACTTAACAGGGAATGAAGCTTCTTCCAACTGGTCGGAAGAGTTCACTGGCAATATTTCTGTACTCATGCTTTGTGAGTACAGTGTCCTAGTACATACTGCACCTTTCTCTTGTATATTGATGTCTCTTGCAATAATGAATTCTTTGGTTCTATTTTTATTCAGGTCGGCGTAGGATTTTTCCTTCTTGACTATGTACCAAAATTGTTGCGTTCACTGCTTGCTGAGATTGGAATCTCTGAAGACTTTCATAATCCTGTATGTAAGTTTCTTGTGGTTAATATTTTTAGTTTCTTTCACATTCCTTTTTAAGCATTGAGATAGTGATATAACTGTCTTAAAGCCAGAGAACTTTTCATTCCATCATATTTGCCTATTTAAGGGACAAATTTCCACTCACGTTGACGTGGTACAAAAATTACAATTGAATGTTGCCAACTCTTGTGCTAAAATTTTAGTTATATATTCAAGTTTTCCTTTTGCGGACTCTAGATGGAGTTTGCTTTACGTGATTGATATGCTCATAGTTAAAAATTCCTCTCTAAAAATAAATTAATTTGAAACATCAAACTTAGTTTCACATTCAGTTGTCTTTAAGCAAAGTTCCTGTATGAAATTAATTGGTTGAGAGGAAATAAAATATAGTGAGACTTGTTTCTTCTTCTGTACAGGCAAATACCAGTTTCAACAAATAAGTTATAATTCCATCTTTACAGAAGGATAATTTTGTCAGCTTGATACCACATCTACTACTACTACCCAGCATTGTTTATGACTTGGCTATGGCAAAAAGACACTACCATCCACCTGCCTATTGTTCCTTCATGGCTTTGGTTATGTGCTTCTTAAGTAGTACTTAATATGAGTGAAAGATATGAATAGTTATGATGATAATAATGCTCGACTGTTTTACAGGGGCTTATGTATAATTAGAGAAAAGTGAAAGACAGACACCTATTCTGGTTCAATTGGTCAAATGAACAACACATTAGAAATTTTTAATCTGTAGGAGAATTGGTGATTTTTTAAAAGAGATATTGTACCTAGATATTAATTTTAAAATAGTTTTTGCACCTCATATATAACACTGCTTTCACTTTTGGAATGAGTGATACTTTTCTGTGCATGATAATCTCTTCCATGTCATGCTAACATTTAGTGCTTATGTGGTGCAGCTGGCAATATTTCCGCTTGTGTTTCTTGTGATTGCTGGAGCTTGGCTGGGTTATTGGATTATTCGCAAACTTGTACTTACAGAGGATGGATCTATTGATATTGGTGTATCTCATTTTGTTGCTTGGTCAATTCGGATTGTTGCTTCAGTGATGATCCTTCAGGTTTTGCTTTAGATTATTGATTTCCATATGATGAAGTTTCATTGAATCTATTTTTGATGGGAAGTAACAGAATGATGTAATTGTGCTTCAGAGTTCTGAGGATCATTTATTTGCAGTGGAGGCTTTGGTGGCTGGAATTTTTGTTTCTTCAGCGTTGAAGAAATTGAGCAATCCAAAGGTCATTCGTCGTGTTTACAAGTGAGTCCAAGTTATAAGTCTTGTGCAAAATAATCTCCTTAATTGATAAAATACGGTTATAACCCAGTGGCGTGATATTATCCCCTCGAAGAAGTGTCTTTGTAATTCACTCTTGCTAGCTCTAGCATAGTAGCATATGAATAGTTTGGCATCCGTTGTAACTCTGATTTTTTTTTCTTGTTCCGATGCTACTATTAGATTTCCTTTTTTCTTTGACATGCAAAATAACTTGAGGGGCTCTTGCAGAAGATTGTGTAGATTAGAGAGAGAATTCGAAAAATCTCTGGATCCCTATGCGTCACAAATTGATGAGTCCTATGTTTCCAGACCTTTCACCAGGTCTCCACGTACTCCTCTTCAAGGTAAGCTTTATTTTCAAATATCTATACTAACGAATTGATTTGATGGACCTCTGGACTAACTTCCTTTTCTTCTTCCTCTTTGTCCATGTTTCATCACTCTCAGGTTCAATCAGCAAATCATCTGGTAGGTTGTCAGATTCGGGGAATTTCTTTTCTAGCTTCCACAGCACACCCGAGAGGAGAAAATTTTCAAAAGATGAATGGGAGAAATTTACTAGGGCTACCACACGCAAGGCACTGGAAGGTCTGGTTTCTTCACCAGATTTTAACAAATGGGCTGTAGCTAATGCTGATAGAATAACATTAACTCCCAAGAAAGAAGCTCAGGATCATCAACGGAGATGGTTCCGTTGGCTTTGAAGATTCATCTGATTCACGTGGGTGAACATCTCATTTCACCAGCCAGATTGTTGTACGACTACACAAGTATATATAATTGGTTTGGTACATATTGTCCCAGTTAACCAGCATTTTTTATATGTTGACACCTATGCAACATTTGACTAGACTAAGCTATTGACTTTAGGTAGAACATGGTTCAGTGAGAAGCTCCATGTTTCTTCTACATAATTCAATTGAAATCGAACCGAACTGGTATCCGTTTCCGTAGAATCTACTGTAGTAGTAGGGCCTTATGAGTTTTTGGATTTTTCTCACTTTCAAAGGACTTATATTTGTCCAGGTATCTGGCTTGTTTAGCTCCCGTGTGGCCCCCTTTTCTATCAATTTTTTTACTCTTATTTTCAACCACAAATTTTCATGAAATAATATTACACATAAATCGAAAAAATTTCCTTTTTTTTTTTAACCGCACGTTCTTTCAAAAAAATTACTATCACGCATTAAAAATTGAAAGAAAGGGGCCGGACGGGGGCTCTTGAAACTTTTTAGTGCACGATTCAATGGATGCTATTGTCACCTGTTTCATGCTGGCGTAGCTTAGTTGCTTGTAAGTTGTAAAGATGCTCTTCTTGGTTTCATCTTTTAATTATCTCGAGAAATAATGTTCTTCGCACGTTAGATAAGAAGAATTAAGTTGCATTAAATGAAAATTGTTGACAGAAGTTTTGATATCATGCATGTGGTACCCATATAAATAAAAAATTCTAATAAAAATGTTCCCCCATTCCCCTATGGTGAGTGTGGGAGTCAAGCCCTTTTTGTTAGTACAGCAAAGTTGTAAGAAGAAAGCACTACATCGTTTTTCGCCACCTTAAATAAAGCATCCCTACGTTGAATGTGTTCCATTTTTTCGTCTGCACGTGCAAAAATAATAAATTATAATCAACGAAAAGTATACAACAACAAATAAAATAGTTAAAAAAACAATGATGCATATATAATTATTTTATAAATCTTTGTACGCATCTTTACCTTGTTTTCTTTTAAGTACTATTAGCCCTCTTTCGGGTCCATTAAAATCAAATTTTTCAGGAAAAAAGTTTGAAATAGTAATTTTTTGAAGAATGTATCATTAAAAATGAAAGAAATTTGTAATAAAAAAGAAGAATACATTTTGTTTAAAATGGAGCCCAAACAAGGATTAAAATCTAAATTTAAAAAAAAATATTGAAATAGTGATTTTAATTTAACCAAAAAACAAGGGCTAAAATCTTTTTATAGTATAGATATAAATAAAAATAGTTTTAAAATAATAAAATTAACAAAAAAATTTAGCCCCTATTTGATGGTGTTAAAATCAATGTTTTAGCATATTTTTATAAAAATTGATGATATTTATGGTTGAAAAATTATGGATCCTATAAAATATATTGTTAAAATTAATTGTTAATTTTAATAAAATCCTAAATTTTTAATTTCTGTCAAATATGAGTTTGTTATCAAAAAGTCAAAGAATGAAAAAAAATATGGGGCTGCGATTCGCACTACGCCCTTTTCAGACAACTCAAAAGCTTGACTAAAAAAAAAAAAAAAAAAAAAAAAAAAAAAGGGGGTGTTTTCCTAGTATGGACACTGTCACTCCAGAGGCACAGGACATGCGCCCGGTCAATAGTGGCGCCCCCTTTTCTAAAGAGCGTGCTTGATGAAAAAGAAGGACCGTAAGGGTTTGTACAGGGTGGATGTGGCCTCATTTCACAAAAAAAATAAAATAATAATAATAATAATAATAATAATAATAATAAATAAATAAATAAATAAAAATAAAAATAAAAAATCAACTGCAACGCATCACCTGTGTAGGCCTTGTACGTTATTCCCCTTGTAATCCCTTTTCTAATAGCAAAACCTAAAAATTCTAAACGAACAGACATGCTTTGTTTCCCTGTCAACAGGGCCAGTCACCAAGTCTGTACATGTAGAACAGCTCTAGTAAGAACCTAAAAAAATAATTATGACTTAGTGTTTTAAAAATCGACTCGATTATCAGCTCGAAAAAGGTCAAAAGGTTAAATTGGGATCAAACTGATTGCAATAAATACATACAAAAGTAATAAAATACTATCAAAATAATAATCTTTTTAAAATTTTCATATTAATAATTTGTTAATTAAATTCATTATTCTATAATTTGTTAACATTTTTGTTATGTCACTATCCCATATTGAAAGTTTATGAAACCATTGAAAAGAAGCGCATTCACAAAATGCACTATCCTAGATTAGAAATTTATAAAATCATTTGAGAGATGTGCATTTATAAAAAGAGTTTGTCATCCCATATTTATTTATGGGCCTTTGAATTGTTGTTCATGAAGTTGAAATTTTGTAAACTAAAAAATAAAAATTTGGGAAAACCACAAAACTGTGATCGGTTCGGTGTGTTTTTAAGCGATTTAGTCATAAACGATTAACAATGCATGATTGACCCGATTTTGGACTCGATTTCAGATTTTAACAGTTGAGCCGGCTAGGCCGGGTCAATTTTGATAACATTATTAAGCGGAGGGAAAAAAAGAAAAAAAAAAGGTAAACAGAGAAAGTAATTAAAGAAAAATTAAATTAGACATTTCCGCCTCTCAACAACCCCAGCCATTCCGCCGCCATTGCCAACGGGCCATTAAGCTATAATTAAGCATTTAAGCTCTCGAAACCAACGTTTCGTCGTTTTAATCCAATTCAAAACCCTGATTTAATGGCAGTCTCATCTCCAAGCTTATCCATCCCTTTTCAAAACCGCCCAAGAAAAACGACTTCCTCTCACAATGTCATTTGGAGAATAGAATCAAAGTCTATAGGGAATCAGAGAGCACGGGAATGGAAGCTAGTAGTGCTTTTAAAGACGAGCTGTTCGTGCGATTCTTTCGTGAGGCCTGGCCGTATTTTCTTGCTCACAGAGGCAGCATTTTTGTTATCGTGGTCTCTTCTGAAATAGTCGATAGCTTTCACTTAGATCCCATTCTCATGGTATATCTTTTCTTTCTATTTTTAAAATTAGTCCCTAGATGTTTTATTGATCACGTAGTTATGTTCATTAGCTGCAAGAAGTATAATAATAAAGAGATTGAATTTTTCTTTGGCATTCATACATTGTTGTTTATTAGCTGCAAAATATAATTTGCGAATTAACGTGTCACATTTAGGATATTTCTCTACTACATGGGCTGGGAAACAAATTTGTTATTGTACCCGGGACCCATGTCCAAATAGACAGGCTTCTGGCTGAAAGAGGTAATAAAAATATACTACTCTGTCATCCTCTTTCTTTGTTTAAATTCGAATTTGATGTAATTGTATGTAACTGAGCATCTTTAACATTTCAGTTAATTTAGTTTCTGTCCACAAGATTCTTTGATTTGGTGATTTATCATTGTCGTAAAATGTATCTTCTGGACACATTCCAGGATGTCAACCCAAGTATGTGGGACGTTACGGAATCACGGACTCTCATGCTCTTAGTGCTAAGCAGCAGGGAGAATTAGAATCATGATTGAGGTGAAGTTTTCCCCTGGACCTTCCTTGAGTGGTATCCGCCGGCATGGAGACAAAAGTCAGTTGTATGATGGCGTCAGTGTTGCTAGACGCTAGTGGTAATTTTCTAGCGGCTAAGGTAAGAATGCTGATATTCACACTTGAGGGTTGCATGGATTTGTAAGTTATTTGATTCCTTATTTTTGTATGGCTTTTCTCAGAGAAGAGGAATAGTTGAAGGAATTGATTATGCATCAACTGGTGAAATTAAGAAAATAGATGTTTCTCGCATTCGTGAAAGGCTTGATCAGGACTGTATAGTTCTTATGAATGATCTCGGTTATTCAACCTTGGGAGAAGTATTAAATTGCAAGTATGGTACATGGCTTTTTTTTTTGATAGGTAGTTTTGTTGCCAATTTGGGGAGTGCATGAGGGTTATGTTACTTTGTAAGGCTTGTGCATTTTGTACTAAATACGAGGTAAAAATGGACGAAGTCACGAAGATGATTTTTTTAGATCCCATCTTGCATTATTTGCAAAACTTTTGCTTTCCTCTTGTTGGTTCTAGTTTACCAGCAGTCTGTTATTTTGTTTCATTGAGTTTTGTTAAACCAGAGAGCACTAGTTAATCTACATGCTTGTGGAACTCAATTACGTGATTTTGTTTCTGTAATTCTTTGAACTTTTACATGAATTAACTGTTGCAAAATTATAAACTCTGCTTTGTAATCTATGGTGGTTAAGTTTTGGGAACCAATGTTTTCTGCTTCTATACATTGCAGCTCATATGAAGTTGCCACAGCTTGTGCAATGTCTCTTGGAGCAGAGAAACTCATTTGCATAATAGATGGACCAATTCTAGATGATTGTGGACGACTTATTAATTTCTTAACTCTTCAAGATGCAGACCTGTTAATTCGCAAGCGGGCTAGGCAAAGAGAGACAGCTGCTAATTATATAAAAGCTGTTGGTCAGGACGTTTTCGCTTGTGTACCATATTATGATTTAAATGGAACAGCCCCTTTGCAAAACGGGAAGGCTTTTGGCAAGAGGTATATTCCAAAATTTCAGAATGGTGTTGGTTTTGATAGTGGAAATAGACTTTGGTCCGGTGAACAAGGTTTCACTGTAGGAGGTCAAGAAAAACTCAGTGGGTTAAATGGTTACCTCTCTGATTTAGCTGCTGCAGCATTTGTTTGCAGAGTAAGCCCCTGCTATTTAATGACATGATGGTCTTATTTAGTAACCAAATATTTGATCTGCTAAATGAAACATGTCGCCCTGTTTCTGCGAAGTAATCACTTTGCTTTCTGTTTGTTACTGCCAGGAGTTGTTGGCAGTAGCTAGATTTTTATCCTCCGGTTTTATATTATTTTTAGAAACACAATTGGCATGTGAAAATTGGGGGGATCATGGAAATCATTAGAACGATACCATTCCATGGGTACACCTTTTACCAGAATGTGGCTTATTTATAGATTTGCTTAACAATTTTTTTCCTGCCAATCAAAATGGATATCTTGACATCAATATTATTTGGCAGTGGGCTTATATATATCTGAGACTCCCATTTCTTTCCCAAGAAAGGCAGAAGGTCGCGATGTTTCATTGATTCTATGATTCCTCTCACAGTAGGTTTCGGGAATAGTCCTAATAAGATTATTCTATTTATTATCAGGGAGGTGTGCAAAGAGTTCATCTTTTAAATGGGACTAATGCTGGAGTTTTATTGAAGGAATTGTTTCAAAGAGACGGAGTTGGTACCATGGTGGCTAGGTATGCATTCTTTGGCAGATACATTCGAAAATTAGCTATTAATCTATATTTTGTTTAAGCTGAACGGACGGTCATTTCCATGAGCTAAATCTGCTCGCCAGGCATTCGGGTTACAGTTTCTATATTTTCCAATATGTTATAACAGGACTTCAAGGAATTTAGAGAGCTTCAGTAGATTGCATTCCACTGTAAACATCTAGATCCTGTTATTGATATAGTCACACCCCGCACAAGATAGCCCATGCCCCACCAATTCGAGAACAGATTTGATCTTTACAAGTTAAACATGCATTATGAATTTAGAGAGCTTTAGTAGATTGCATTCCACTGAAAACATCTAGATCCTGTTATTGATATAGTCACACCCCGCACATGATAGCCCATGCCCCACCAATTCGAGAACAGATTTGATCTTTACAAGTTAAACATGCATTATTCTCGTTTTCTGAATTCAGTTGCAAATTTTAAACTCTTCTCCTCCTTTATATCAATTGTGTGATTTATGGGGACATCATCATGCATCATTGCATCTATGATTTTACTTGTACTGTGTGACAGAAAAAATCTCCATGTAGAGTCCATGAGTTGATCTCTCTCTCTCTCTCTCTCTCTCTCCAGATATAAATTATAATTGATTAAGGAAAGTTGTTTGGCAAGGTATAGTTGACGATCTTCTCGCTGACATATGGACTGATTCCATTATGCAGTGATCTTTATGAAGGAACTCGGATGGCTAGAGTAGCAGTTCTCCCCGGAATCAAACAACTTTTGCGACCTTTAGAAGAGTCTGGCACGTTGATAAGAAGGACCGAGGAAGAGGTTTGCTCCTGTTATGATAATTTAATTTTTATATTCTTTACCCCATTTGTTCAAAGCCTCGTTTTTTTTATGTATTGCAGCTACTTAAAGCACTGAATTCGTTCATAGTCATTGAAAGAGGACAAATTATAGCTTGCTCTGTTCTTTTTCCTTTTTTTGAAGATAAGTGTGGAGAGGTTGCTGCTATTGCTGTTTCTCCTGAATGTCGAGGGCGAGGACAAGGAGACAAATTACTTGGTATTATATAAACAGCTTTCATTTTGATCTTTTAGTCATCCAGTACTCGTACTGAAATTGGGGGTTTTTAACTTTATTGCTATTGTAGCTACAATTGGACAGGCCACTACTAATGGACATCTAACAGAAGAAGCTCTAGGAGTTATTAGAAGTGTGCTTTCAAGAAAGATCTCTCTTTAAGTAGACACTGAACTCGTTTGATTTGGTAGTACTTTAGGTACCTCATTTTTAATAAACAGGCTATCAACTGGAAAACATTCTACTCTGATCCTTTGGGTACATTATGTATATCTATTTACTCTGGCTTTTGCGTTTCATAGTCATCACTATCATCTCTACCTCTCCTGCCCCGCAAAAAGAAAACCACACTAAACAAATGCAATCTCGCATATTAAGAAACACCAACAACCGCCTTGGTTTCAGTTACCCTTCCCTTGTGGTCTTATCACCAAAATGGGAACAGCCAAAGTATGTTTCTTTTGACACTTGTATCTGCATAGAGTGGAATAGAGGAGGCGAACTTTTAGAAAGTGAGAACTGAGATGCATGTGTTTTTTCCCTAGCTATGAAGTTCTTCAGTTTTGCAGATAATAACCTCAATGTCAATTACGTGCAGATTACATTGAGAAGGCATCTTCGCTAGGACTGCAAATGCTTTTTCTACTGACAACACGAACAGCAGATTGGTATGTGTTTCTGGTTCAAATGCTGTTACATAATGTGTGCTGACTGTAGAAAATAGGAACGTCAATACACATCTTAGTTTCCACTCTGACTCCAATTAGTTTCAGAGCAGAGTTTTTCTGTACAAACTGGCTTTATCTTGAAGTCATGCCCCTTCATAAATAACTCACTATGGTTATAGCTAGAAATATCATTGTTTTCTACATCATAACATTGTAACGGGATGAATAGGTAGGTGATAGGCCTTTCACAACCCTTTAGTCGTCGCCTCCCCAAGCCCCATGACCGGCCATTGCCACCAAAATAAAAATTAAACAAGTAATAAATCAATGTTTAAAAACTTCCAATTGAGGTTTGCCTCAGAGTGAGTCGAACAAGAAACTACTGAAGGCACTATTTGTGAGGCTGTTTTTGGAGGCCTCAGCACACGCCTCAAGGCTTGTGGCGTATGCACCTTAATTTTTTAGATGTATGTACTTTGCTTTAGGAATGAGCCCACAAAACATTAAAAATTTTGATTGGCGCACTGCCCCATTAAAACTTTAAAAAATTGTGTCATTAGCAGACTCACTTTGGAAATCGTCCATTGCCCTACTAACTAAAATAATAGTTTCTTTTTTGTTACTTTATATATTTTTCTTCTGTATATAAATTGGAATATTTTCGGACTTGGTTACGCTTTTTTAAACATTGAATTAATTGATCTCATGGAAAATGCATTAAAGAAGCTGAAAGAAAATCTAGCAGCAAATTTGTACAGCATTGATTCATCCGGATGCTCAAATTACTTGAAAGCACTTGAACGTGGAATTCCCTCCCCCCCTCCTTCCTCAATCTTGTTTTCTTTATTCATTTTTCCACTTTGCTTCATTATTCACTACTACTTGTGTGTGTGTCAGTGGAATGGGGATGGTGGGTTATGAAACGTCTTCATATACCTAGATGGCTAGATCCCATGTAGTGATAATTGAACTTTCTACTCTTACAGCGAGCTTAGTTGTACAACATGATAGTAAATTGTCAAATAATGACACTCCAATTCTTTCCCAAAAAATCTGAACTTTTGATGCTGGGTTCTGCCAAATGTACCCTTAGATATACTGTTCCTCGTCCACTGCTTAGACGTTAGAAGCATTAGTTACATTCTGAATCCTAAACTCTATGAGTCTGGTATGGTGGCTGGTCTCTCTTTCTCTCTCTCTCAATAATAGTTCCTTATTCAAACAGGTTCGCAAGGCGTGGCTTCTGCGAGTGTTCCATTGAATGTATGCCTCAGAAAAGGAGGGAAAAGATCAATCTATCTCGAAGATCGAAGTACCATATGAAGAATCTTCAACCTGATAGGAGCGGTATTCGTCTGGACACAGCTTTTTCCTGACATGATGCCATTAGTGGCGCTTATTTGTTGTCATTGGTGTAAAATTTGTGAAGAAAAAAGTTGAAAGAAGGCTGCTTTTGTGTTTCATCGGATCTCTAGTCCTATTACACGAGGAAGTGTTGGATCTGGCCCTGGCTGAATAATTCATGATTCCAAGTGATAACTTTGTTTTTCCAAATCCATGGAAGTGGTGGTGCAACTTCTAAGAAGCAGTGCAGGCTAATTGTGAAATTCTGGAGTTAGAATCTGGAACGTGCGACTACCAACTAGAGCTTTTATGTTGCCCTTGAAACGACAAGCTATTCAGAAAATTGGCTTGTATAGAGAGTAAAGATATTGTATTGCTAATAAGAATATACCGTATAGCAAAGATTTCAAGCCGATTAGCTGATCTGAACACGGTGAATGGTTATTTAATGGGTTAACAACGTAAATAGTCACTAAACTTTGCAAAAAGTTTTCACGGGGTCATTGAATTTTAAAAATCACCCAAGTCATCACTGAACTTTGTAAAAGGTTTCCACGTGATCACTGAACTTTAAAAATCATCTCATTCATCATTAAACATTACAAAAGATTTTCACGGGATCATTGAACTTTGTAAAAGGTTTTCTAGAGATCACTGAATTAGTGATCCTCTGGAAAAAAGATTGCAAAGTTAAGTGATGAATGAGATGATTTTTAAAGTTCAGTGATCCCGTGGAAACCCTTCGTAAAATTCAGTGATGAGTTGGATGATTTTTAAAGTTCAGTAATCCCGTGAAAACTTTTTGCAGAATTTAGTGACCATTTGGATTATTAACTCGGTTATGTAATACTCTCTAGTTCAGAGGTTCACGTAATTGGCTCTTTAAGCTGCTTTTAGTTGTTCAATGAGAACTTTGGAATGTTATTGTGAAGACAATTGTATGAGAATTAACAAAATTAATTGATAAGAGGAGCACAAAATGTAAATGAACTTAGATTAGCTTAAGCTGCCAAATATGCATCTAATAGTCCCAGAAAATTTGTTATAAAGTTCTAAAGCAACAACATGCTGGATAAACTGTCAACTACAGGAAATTCAGTCTAACTTTTGCTGTAACCGGTTCTATTGTGTCTCCAAAACATAGGTGGAAGACTGGACCATAATGTGATTCACCAACATCAATGGGAAGGTGGCCTAAGTTTTGAACCATGTCATTGACAATTTCCCGGTAAACCCATATTTCATGAAGGGGACATCAGCCTTCTTGTTGGCTTTTGTTCCCAGTAGCCAAGCAACCACTAATGCATCGAGGTACTTAAGAAAGGGTTGAATAACCGGATACAAGGACAACCACACACTTGACATTGACACAAACATGCATAATTGTGTCTAAACGTTGTTGAGAAATAGTCAGGTTTTAATTGTCCCCTGCACTTTTGGCAAACGGGTGTTCTTGTACCACAACCACGGCGTAGGAAAAGTATTTAAGTTTTACAAAATTCTTGTCCAGGCTTTTACTTTAGGTGATTTCTGTGCTTAGATCAACTGCAGCCAAGATCCCGTCAAAGATTTTGGTTCCGACGGCATTTTTGTTGCCATCTTGTCCTTGCCAAGCCATTGTGCGCATGGCTACCGACAAGTGCCTTTTTGGGAAGTTGAAGTCTAAGGCTATCATCATTTTCTCCATTCTTTTACAGGTGATTTTCTCATAGCCTTCCTTCCCAAATCGCTGTGAGCCTAATCGAGTAAGAGAGTATATTTACGTTGTGCAAGTATATAGTTGATGGACCCCCAATCCCATAGTTGCAAACAGGTCATCTGTATTTCAGACGGTTCGCTTAATTTGTTAAGAGGGTCAAGTGTAATAAGCTATAATAAGGATTTGTCTATAAATAGAAGAGGGAAATAACGAGGAAGGGAAGCAAATATTGAATAGATGGTTGAATCTGTTAAGAGAGATCTAACTTCTTGAATGCTTGGAATTGTTCTGTCAATTTTAGTCCAGTTCTTCATTTCATAAACAATTGTTTTACAATTTGCAATTCAATACATATATTCATTTCACCAATACACACCCCTTTCCTTTACATTCCGGTTGATACATCAACTACCTAACCAAATCATTAATCGGTAGATTTACCAGTCCAGAGCAGATTCATCAGCAGCAGCAGCAGGAAAACCTATCCATAGTACTCGACAATAAAATGATAATATTTTACTTGGCTTCCAATTTGTTTAGTTAATCAACTAAACGAAGATCAGGGAAAGGCAACAGACTGAGACTAATAAAATTCCATTTACAATCTCTTACTACACAAGGTGGAGCAATATTGCACTGGCAAGGACATGAAATTTTGCCCATCTTTAGACGGGGGATAAAAATATCTTCTTCTTTTATAACTTAAGTATCCGAACTTCGCCTAAATAATTGAAAAATGACGGCCTCCCCCACGGTCCGCCACCAGGATAAATTCATATACAATCACAGCTTATATACTCTTAGGCCGAACACTCGAGATGCAATTCTCCTCTCTGTAGACATACCTTTACGATATGCAGACAAGATCTTCAAAGGAGCGATAAAGTGTACCATAACTTTACCTCCACAGGACATCTGCTTTCCAACATAAATGTTACCTTCCAGCTACCACAAAGACTCGAACTTCCAAAACTCCGTAGAGAACCCTCCTACTTTACCATTACGCCATGCCCGAGAGAGCAAAAATATCTTAATTTATCATTATGTTTAATTAATATTATATTTTTAATTTAATTTTTAAATCATAAAAAATAAATAGAAAGATTTGAGCTGGTTTAACAAAAAGAGCCATATCCCAAGCTAAACTGCGTTGTTCAAAATCACATTGGCTAATATACACAGGACGCTCAAACTATTCTTAAACATTTTCAACAAGCTGGGAATAGATCTTAAACCCTGAATATGTGAGAATTTGGTACAACACAGTGCAGTGAAAGAACACAAGCCAGAACCAAAGTTCACTTTATTGTTAAAATGCATGAACACATGATTAGAGACTCATTATCTTGTAGACGTAACTCCACTAAAGCTTGATAAAGGATGCCACGGGCTGCTTCTGTCCTCTCATCTGCCTTGACCAAATCAGTTCTCCTTGGGTGGGCCCTTCCATTTGAAGTTGTCTGCGTACGACTTGGGCTGACACAACAATTCAAAGGGATAAATCAATAGTCCATTTTCTCTTCCAATTTAAGAGGAAAAAGAATCATTCATTTGTTCATCGTTATGTAAAATAAGTGCAGGATCCCCATTGTTATGCAAAAACTGAAGAGGATTCTCTACAATTGTATGATGAGCAAGATGACCATACCTGATTTTGCTCTAGATTTAGTGTTAAAGCAACATGAACCTCTCCGTTTAACATCAGGAAATTAACAGTGTACTATGAAACAACTTGATTAATTTTCAGCTAGCAGTGGGTGTCTTATGCATGCTTGCAGTGTGCATCTTAGGGTTGGATGTGAGGAAAAAATATGTGCTCCTAAGGAACGGGATGACATGATTGGTTTACAGGTAGAACATCTACTGAAGCTCAATTGCTCCAGAGATTCATGCCAATATCACTCGATTCGATTGAAGAAGAACCTCGTACCTTCAGTAGTGGTGTTTGACGCTTCTTAACCTGTAAGACAGAAGTGATATATAATTGAGGGCTGCATTCTTATTTGAATCCAAATGTAGGAAATAATAATGCATGAGCTAGTAAATTGAAACAGATAGTTCAAATAATGATAGTGATAGGGGACATGCTTCCCAATCAATAGCTCTTGCTTGATTATGAATATAATAAACAAAAGGGAAAAAGGCCAAAAAAACTCAGCTGTTCACGTGACGATAAGGGCATGGCATCTTTATTTTGGTTACTTCATGAATCGCCACAGAAATCAATCTATATAGAACTTCAGATTATATCCCTATTTGTTCACCTCGACCAAATGAAAGTAATCCAATTCAAAATAAACAAACAATGAAGATACAATTTCCCCTCAGAAAAGGGGTCCAGCTGGTAATGACAAATGATTTGGACAACTTTGTCTGCAAGAGAACAAAATAAAAACAGCCCTACCATGTAATCCCAACCATGCTTTTTGGCAAATGCTATTGCTGCTTCTTCACTGTCAAAACTTAGTGCAGAATCACCAACATTGGCATATGGGTCTCCTGTAGATGTCCAACCCATCAACGGATTTTCCCATCTACATTTCAGAAACAATGAATACTTACTGTATAACCATGGTAATAAGGGTAATAAATTGAATGTGCACTAGACTTCCTGATTTGATATTTAACCATGAAATTTTATTATTATTATTATTATTTGGGGTGGGGGGGGGGGGGGGTTAAAAAAAA